AAAATGGCCGTTAGAAATATATAAACGGATATTTGAAAATGAAGGGCAGTTTGGAAAACTGATTTTAAAAAACTGCGGCAGTTTATGATTTAAAATTGTCTGTAGAAGGCAGAATGCATTGTTCTAACTGTTGAACTATTTACATTCAGACAAATAAAATACATTTCAACCTGGCGCCAGATCTCTTCACCTGGCGCAACTCCCGCACAGCTTTGCGCCATCTGCAGATGTCAGAGGTTTTATTTTTAGGACTACCTCCGGTTCAACCTGCTGCATTGTAATTCCAGATGATAACTGCAGCTACGTTTTCATTTTCCCGCTAATTGTGACCAAAACAGGAGGGAATGGTTGTGTTAAACTTGTCCATTGCACATATGAATCCCGTTCTTCTTTTTTAATTTTCTTATGAACACTTACATTTTAGGAAACTATTAAAGCCCCCATTGCTCATCGTGGATATGTTTGTCTTATTTGGAGGGACTCCACATCTCATTAAGAAATTACCGTGAATAAAATTGCTTATTGAATAACATCTGGCGCCATTTTCTCTGTCAAACTCACCGGACTGTGAGGCGTTTGGGTCTTTAATGTGTCACTCATCTCAGTTTGGAAGCATAACGTATTTTATTACGCTGTGATGATCAACTACTGTGGATGCTGCTAAAATGCTAGCTAATGTTAATAAATGTGGGTAACCATGGCAACCATTGGCCGTTTGCAGGTCGTCTCTTGCAGTCAGGTTCCGCTGTTTATAAATAAATATCCCTCTAGAAGTTCATAAATCTAATTAATAAATGATTTTTACCTCCAGATTTACTTGTCTGACTTCTTTTAGTGCAGAATTATGACGTCAAGGTTTGATGAAATGTGACATGAAAATAATCGGATTCAGTTCAACATGTGGAAATGACTCAGATCGGATTTTTAGGATGTGAAAAGATCGGACTTGGACATGTTTAATGCACATTATGGACATTTATTTCAAAAAGAACCAACAAACCAGTTGCACATCTATTGGGTTATGACGGAATATATTTCTAATAACTGCACATTATTTTTATATTTTCACACAGTGTTTTATTATTTTTCATATATTTCCAATAATATTGGAGCTGTTTTCATGCTTCTACTGTGTCTATTTATTCTGTTTTTCTATGCAGTTTGGATTTATTCCTAACTGAAGAACTAAATCACTGAAAATATTCCCATAAATTGGACACGTTTTGCTTTCAAATGTTACATTAATGCCTATAATTTGTGATTTTTGTGAGGAGTTAGTGAACAGGTGAAACCTGTGGTCGCTCTGCACGCTGGAGACCCAGCTAAAGATCCACATATGGGTGAAAACTCGGATTCGGGTCCAAATGTGAGCAATGTGTGCAGGCTGGGCTCCGTTCGGTCCAGCCCCGTCCCCAGGCAGACAGGTGCCGCTCCAGATGCTGACATCTGGCCCCGCAGCCCCGCTTTCACGCACGCTGGTGACAGTTAGGCCAGAGAGCATGCATGTGACTATCAGAAAAAGACCGAAAAAAAGATGGAGCCAGGCCTTCACGACGCTGAGGTCTGACGCCGGAGCCGTCCGGCGCTCTGCGTAACGCGCTCCGCTCACCTACCTGCGGAAAACGGCGTCGTGGCGCAGTTTATCCCCGCAGCTGTCCATCAGAAGCGGAGCGCATGTTGATCAATCCCGCGGCTGTTATCTGATGAACGGCTCTCCGCTGCTTCGGCTGGCTCCGATGGGCGTGTATGAAGCCTCACTTCCTCGTCTGACAGCGCAGCGGCCGCCGCGAGCAGCGCGTCAGCCTTCCGCAGACAATACGGTCCCCGAAGCGCCGCGGAGGGCCGATGCTTCCGCGGCCCCTGCACCCACACAGGGGGGGCCAAGTTCAAGCGCGGTCCGGGCCCGGTTGTTCTGTGTCTGTGTGCGTGTGAGCGTGCGTGGCGCACTCTGTTTATGGTTTCATCACAGCCCCGGTTCGTTCCCCGCGGAGCGGTCCGTGACTCTGGCCTCCAGATGGGGGGTTCGGGGGGGCCCCGCGGGTCTCCGGGGAACCAGCAGCAGTCTCACCTGCCGGGGTCTGCGGCTGGAAACGAGCCCGGCTGGGGGCCACCGAGTAGCGGCTGTGAGGGGCCTGCTCAGTCCGCTGCTGGTGGAGGCGATGGAGACGGTGTGCTGAGGGAGAGCGGAGAGAGAGAGACAGCACCACACAGAGCTCAGGAGGACCGGAACAGGCTGCAGCTGCTGCTGCTGCAGCTGGACCTGCAGGAGGGCAGCCGAACTACAGCCCACAGCTGGACCCGAGTCTCTCACAGCACAGCCAGAACCCGAACTACACAATCAGAGCGGGAAAACCTGTTAATGGATGAGTAATAAACAGTTAAAGGGCCAGTACCATGTGTTTTCCAGCCACATAGTGCATTGTATAGAATAATTAGGAGCTATAAAATGAGTAAAAATGCTGCATACAACAAAAAAGAAATTAGATTTTTTTTATTATTATTATTTAACGCATTGAAATTGGGCCTCTGTTTCTTTAAAACCTCCTGCTCTTTCTGAAGCCCCGCCTCCTGGAAGTCATCCCAACATGGCTCCTCTATTAACCCTTTAACGTTTTTACCAGCGTTTCACTGAGCAGCAGCTCCTATAATGAGCTCAGCAGTTTGATCAGGCGTTTGCTAATTGCTGCTGGCTAGTCTGAAGGAGCTGCGGTGGGTTGATGGGGGATGAAACCATTTGTGGCCCTTGGAATAATTTTTTGTGGCCCTGACTGCAGTAGCTGGAGCTGATACAGATAAATGCTTCTTATTTGGGATGAGATCTTATCAAACAGAAAATGTTCAGTACAACACAAATATCCTTTCTTTTATGAGCCACATTTTTTTGTTTTACTTTGACTGGGCCACAAACATCCAGGAACCTTTTACTCAACAGACCTGAGCACCCAGAGAGAAAACTTTAGATGAGACGGCAGTAAGTTGAGAAGAAACTTTTCCCTTTTGTTGCTGAAATTAGACTGAAAATATTTTCTAAACCAACAAAACATTCAAACCAAAAAAAGTTAGAAAACTTAACACCTTTGTTTTATTGACAAAAATATCTGAGACCGTTTTCAACATGTACAATAAATGTTTAGTTTCTGGTTTTATGAAAATACTGCATGTTTAAATAACTAAAATGAAAGATTTACAGTAAAATTATTTAGCATTTTTAATTTTTTTTTAACTGGAACAAATGTCCCCTGTTTGCTTTAACGTGGTTTTTCTGACCCACATCGCAGAAAGTTTCTGAAGTTCTGAACTTTTCTCTGCTTTTTGCTGCCAGTTTTAGTTTTCAGAACATTTTCAGATCAATGTTTGATCATGAATTATCTTGAACCTCTAACAGAAGAGCCGTATGTAAATTTTGTGTGAAGGTATCAGCAGGTGGGCCTCGGGGACCCACCCGGCGCATCCTGTTTCCCATGATGCACCGCTCTCTCTGCGAAGCCGCTTCTTTATCATGATAGAGAAACTTTACATACTGGGTTCAGTTGTTTCTGTTAATGTGCAGCAGATGCTTCTGCTTTTATTTGAATAATAAACCAACAGACATCACCTGAGTCCAGACTTTAAGTCAAGATAAAACAGAAACTAAACTTATTTCAGGATAACAATCAGTCAGTTTGGATAATAATTTGTTTTTATTTATCTGTTTCTTTATTGACGTCAAGTAAAAATCTTAGTCCAGACTTTCATATTTCCCTGTAAGAAGATTAACTGTCCTGTTAAGTTTTGAAGATTCTTTTAATATAAAACAACTCAGAGGATTGAAATCAGGATTATTTTAAACATAAAATCATATTCTACAGAATGAATAATCTAATCTTCCTCTCCATGAAGTGACAAAAAACAACATTTTAAATGTTTTATTTTGATTCTTATTAAACAATTAGGATAATTTTAAAACTACAAGTTAAACATTTGAAAACCTGTGCAATTATAATAACTTGAGTTTAAGAGATAAAATGCATTTAACTTCAGGTTGCAGTCAGTTTTTACAGTGTAACTGCTGATTTAGTCAGAGATGCATCATCATTCAGTTCAGTCAGTTTTCATGTTTAATTTCAGAAACTGTTGACTTTTAAACTGTTTTCAGCGAACTGTCCTTTGGAAGTCACTTTGTATTCTACACTCACTTTTACTATAATTATAAAATAATATCTACAATTAAATAAATCTTCAGTTTGATTCTTGATTTGAAATTAGAGAAGAAGTCCTAAGAGAAACTCAGAAAGAAACCTGAGCTTCCAGGAAAACATGGCCGCTTGGAGGAAACGGTTTCAGTCTGCGGTTTGACTGCGCATGCGCTCTTGTGACATGAGCGGGGTCGCGTGTCAGTAATCTGATGATCCTCCAACAGGTGAGCCAACAACCACCTGCAGAGACTCCGCTGCGTCATCTAATCTGCGGCTGCGCAGCCAGTCAGGTTGACCGGAAACAAGGTCACCGGCCCTTCAAAATAAAATGCTTTTACACAAATAAACAGCTTCAATAAGAAGAACTGTTTTATCGCTAATGTAGTTCATTGTTCTGATGGACAGGAGGTGAGAAATTAAACTGTAGTTTATACAAAAACTGAAAAACAATAAAGGGCATAAAAATGACACAAAAATAAACAAACAAATAGATAAACAGAATATAGTAAATTTATTTTGATGCCAAAGAGAAGGAAGGTCAAACTGTCTCTTCCATGCATCTGCAGGGGTCTTATCTCCAACTCCAACATCTTTCTGACTACATCCAGATTTAAAGAGGAGCGGCAAAAACAAAGGAGGCGGATCAGCAGAGGCAGACATGTTACTGTGGAATATCAACTCTGTTTCCTGGATACTGAGCTGATAGCATGTCATGATGGTCACTTAGCAACAGTCTTCAGTCAGAGGCCTCCTCAGAGTCTTTGCAAGACTGCAACACTGACTGCTAGTGGAGCTCCTTCCTGTCCTCAACTTTTAATTCTCTTTTGTGATAAATAAAGTCGTTTTTAAGTTAAATGAGTTGAACATTGTTTTGGATGTTTATTTTTTCAAAGTTTGATAGATGATTTTGTCATATTTTCCTGATTTTGGCCACAAAATCCAATTTGATCAGAGCGTTTTTTTCATTCCTCTTCAAAGATTTGCAGATTTGGCAGAGCATGGATGCTTTTATTACGAAAGTCTAAATAATACCCTTTCCGGTACAGCTTGTTGGGTTTGCCTGTAGTTGCCCGGGAGCCAGCTCCATAGCAACCGGATCAAGAAAGGAAAAAAAGTTGAAAGATTTATTTGTTTGTTTTTGTTTGGTTGTTTAAGGGTTAAGTAGTGAGGAAGATGAGGAGGATGAAGAATTTCCTGAGCAGATCAGGAGTTGGACACAAACTAAAAGTTTCCAGTTAGAAATGCCTTCAACGCTGATGGTGAAGCCCAAACAGGCGGAGGCGTCGAAGAGAAGCCGAGCGGCGAGGCCGGCAGCGGAGCCGCCGAGGGACAAGAGGGGCCCGGCGGCAGCGGCGGGGGCCCAGGGGCCCAAACCAAGGGCCAGGTCCTCATCTGCTGCCCCCAAACCAGCAGGAGCCAAACCCAGAACCGAGCCGGAGCGCCGCAGGGCCAGCAGCTCGGTGAGGCAGCCGGACGCCCGGGAGGGCGCCGGGTGTCCGGGTCTGGGGGAGCAGCGGGGCCCCGGGCCCGGCGGGAGGCCCGCGATCCAGAGGTGAGCACAGCGAGTCAGTGTGCGCAGTCAGTGTTTTATGGGTTCTGTAAGGGCCTTTTATGGGCAGCTACCCAGGGCGGCATCAGTTTGTTACTGACATTTTAGTGAGTTTCTGTTCAGTCGCTGTTGATAACTGGGAGAAAATATTACCTGCTTTGTGCTACAAATAAAAACGACAGATAACTGCTTGCATTGTGATTGGTTGAAGGGTGGCAGGAGGAGGGGCTTAGCCAGCACGCCGTTCCTGCTCTGGACTCTGGATGAAAGGAAAAGTCTCTAAATAAAACACAGAGAGAAAGTTATAATACAATCAGCTTCCTAAAATAATGTCCTCAGTCATTTTTTCACCAAAAGTAATTTTTCTTTTTTTCTTTTCTTTTTTTGTATAAAACATTATAAAAAAAAAAGTGGTGACATCAGAAATTTACAAATTAAATCCATATTAATAGATTTCAACTTACTGTCTTTTATTTCCTCTAAACATGTTTTTTGGTTTTAAATTAATCTGTCTATTTTATGATCATCTTGTTTAAATTCTTCATTCATGCTGTAAACAACCAGACAGAAACTTTTTACTTTTCAGGTGTTTTTGTCATTTTTCTGCTCTCCTCAGTCTGGATAAAATATCTATTTTGCTCATTTTTTGATTTTAGAGCTGAAATCCAGAAATAAATCCCGTTTATCCTTCAGTTCATTGAATGAATTACTGGTTTGGTTAAGAACCCATCATGGCTGCCTGTGTTTGTGTTTGGAGACTTTTCGTGCTTCCCGCTGTGAAACGCCGGAGCGTTCCTGAAATATCCCGCCGCTGCTGCCAGAGGCTTCGTCTCCATCTGCTGCAGGTTAATCCCACCAGGTTTCCTGAAACTGCTGCAGTCAGGCAAAACACGGTCGGTTCTGCACAACAAACTCCAGAAAAATCTGAATCAACGATGCAGAAAGAATAAACCGTCCTGGATCAGGTCCATATATTTGATGTGTTTCTGAAGGACTTGCAATAAAATTATGTTTTCAGCTCAGTTTCTGCAGATGAATTTAGGATGATGACCAGATCATCGCTAACTGGGTTTCTGTTGGCAAGAATAAAGTTGAAACTATATGAAAATGAAGTTGAAGTATTACGAGATTAAAGTCACAATATTACAAGAATACAGAGAAAAATCCCTTCAGCTTAGCCTTAGATACGCTAACTTCAAATCACACTGTAGTTTTTTACAGTGCTTAAACTTTGCATTTCTCATCTATGTGCCATAATAAACACTGTTCATGATAAACACATTAAAACAAAGCAAAAATCATCCAGAGCTCCACTGATGGATCCTGCCTCCCCCTGCTGACATGCCGCCCTGGGAAAAGAGCCGGATCATTTGAAAATCACAGTTTTTGTTGGTTTTAGTGTTTTCAGCTTCTTGTTTAAACCCTCTCTGTGTTTCAGTCACAAGGCGTTCACCGTCATCCCTCCAAACCCAAAGAAACGGAGAGAAATCCAGAAAAGTGAGTTTCCTGTTGCAGTTTGAGCCTCTGAGTATCGGTGACAGTCTGAGTAATCTCTGCCGTCTGATTGGCTGAGCAGAGGCGGAGGCAGAGCTAGCTGCTCTGGAGGAGCTGCGCCTGAGCAGAGCCATGGCTTACGTCTCCATCAACCCCAGCAGCGTTGGTGAGACACCCGAACGCCTCGCAGGCGGTGCGTTCAGGGCCGCCTCTCTGACTGCGCTTTGTGCTGCGTTCGCAGGCGGCTGCATGAGTCTGGAGGAAGTGAGGCTGAAGCAGCAACAGGAAATGATGCAAGCCAAGAGGAAACAGAAACAGGTGTGACACCTGGAACATCCTGCAGGGAACGTCCTGATCACACAGACCACAAAATGTTTAACCTCAATCTCCTGCATTTCACTGTTTATTATTAAATATGTCAAAAATGCATTTAAAAAACTGAGAAAAAGAAAAACTTTTCATTTAGGAGATAGTTTTAATGCCAAATTATTTACTTTTGTTCACTAATTTATTATTTTATCTGATTCTCTTTTCTGATTTTCTGAAGTAAATATTTGTAACTCTGTTAAGTTTCTTAAATATTTCCCATGTTCCTGAAATGTGAAATAAATGTTAATATTTACATCAGTTAGTGTGTCTGACTCTGACGCTGAATCCATCCAGGAAGTGCAGATCTTCACTTCCTGCTTGTGTTCCAGGTGAGGAAGCAGCTGATGGAAGAAGCGCCTGTTCTGACCAGGTGACCGCCCACAGCGCCTCCTACTGGCCTCACCTGGCAGCTCAACTCCTGCTGAACACAACGCCAAGGCAAAGGTTTCCATCCATCAGCAGGAACATTAGTTTTAAATGATTCGTCTGAACACTTCTGAGTTTAATTATTACACAACAAACATCTTTCAACAGTACAGCTTATGGTGGAACATCCCTCATCATGATGCTGCCACCACCATACTTTGCCATTGTTGAGGTTCTTTCCTGATGGTGGATGGAAACCTCTGATCAGAACCATTTTAAATTCTGCATTTAATCAGTAAAACCTGCAGCAGATGGTATGTTTAACGCTCTTTATAGATCATATTTTGTATAAATGTCTGCTCTATATTTTGTGTTTGTATATAAATTATGTTATAGAAGAAATAAAGTTTAAAAAAGGAGAAACAAAACAGCAACTTTATTCAATGAATGGACAGAAACGGGTTTGTTGAACCATTTAAAAATGACTAAAGAAATCAATGGATGGATGGATGGATGGATGGATGGATGGATGGATGGATGGATGGATAAATGGATGGAAAACAATTTCTGAGCTCCAAAAGTGAAACATTTTCTACTTTTGAAACTCAAAAATTAGCATATATTTTCAAGAAATTTCTGATTAATCTCAAAATGAGATCTAGATCTCAATGGGGTTTACCTGGTTAAATAAAGGAAAAAAGTTTCTGAGTTGTTTTTTTTCTAGGAAATTTTCAAGCTCTTAAATTTCCCAGTTTTTTTCTAGCAAATTTTCTGAGATTAATCTAAACAATTCTGAGTTTTCTCCCAGAAAATTTTTGACTTTTCATACTCAGATATTTTCAATTTTATGAGACTAATCTCATAATGTCCTCATCTTTTTCTTTTTCTTTTTCTTTTAGCACATTTTTTACCTTTCAAGTTCGGAAATTTCCACTTTTTTCCAGAAAATATCTGAGATCGACGTAAAAAAAAATGATTATTTTTCTAGTAAGTTTTAAACTATTTAATCTCTTAAGTTTCTACGTTTTTTCTAGAAAGTTTCTGGTAATAATCTTTAAATTTCTGCGGGTTTTTTGGTTTAAATATGCTCCTGTTTTTCTGTGTCTAATGGCTCTAACGCGCCGTCATCAGTCAGAGTCTCTGTAGTTCTGCTTTTCACCAGCAGAGGTCGCACTCTGCCTGAATCAGAGGAAGCGTCTGGGTGGAGAGGATGATGATGATGATGATCACGCAACGCTGGAGTTAAAAGAACATTTGGTTCTTTATAGAAAACCACAATAAAACCCTCCTAATTTAATCCTCACGTCTCTGGGCTTTAAAATCACAGCAGCGCTTTAATGTCGCAGTTAAACAGCGGCGGTCTGAGAGGAGCGGAAGCTGATTTTTCACTGTTTTAGTTTAAATTATTTTTGCTTTTTACGTTTGAGTTGTTTTCATCAGACGCAAATGAACAAATTAAAAGCAAACCGAGCTAAATGTCAGAGTCGTGCTTCTGCCTCCGGTATGCATAATTTAAATGTCACGTCAGGAGAACGAAACTGCAGATCTGCGCATGCGCCAGAGATCTTTAAGACGTCTGAACAGGAACAAACGCGCCGCCATGTTTGTAGTCTTTAGCTGTAAACCTTCCTGTAAAGCGGATGGTGCGTTCAGAGTCTCTTGTAAACGTCAAAACGTCAGAAAGATGACACACAGGAATGTGACTATGTTTTTTTTATTTATTTATTTTTATTATTTATCGACTGCAATCTGCCTTATTTTGTTTGACCATCTGGTTAAAGATGTTAAACAATCTCCAACTGATCTTAGTAAAAGCTTAGAACTTATTTTTTGTTCCATCTAATAAATCTGTAATCTGCAGCCACAGATGAATTGTGATCAAAAGTATCATTAAATGAATGCAAATAACACCGTTAGTGAATTTTGATAAAGAAAAAAATAATTTCAAGGTCATTATATTATGTTATTATTTTCAGTATGTTTTAGAAAATAAGTCATTCTTAAACTAAGAATTAAATTAACATAAATTTTAATTATTTTTAATATTGAAGATGTTTTATCATCAAGAAGCTGATATGAACTGCTTCTGAAATAACTGCAGTAACTAACACTTTGATAAGTCATTTTTCCTGTTTTGTGATGTGATATTAAGATGCAAAACATATTTTCAAGTTTACTTTTTCCAGCAGCAATGGAAGACTTTAAAAACGAGAATAAAGATTATTTCTCGTCCTGATTTCTCTCTTATCTTGATATTTTGTTGGGATTTTTATTCACATTGCATCTTAGAAGATTTATTTAATTAAGAAAACATTTGATGTTTTAATTTAATTTGTTGTCTGGTTTTAATTTGCTATTCTTTAATTTGCAATAGCATTTATTTGATGAAGAGAAATAGCTGAAGATTAAAATCTCCTCTGATTCTTTCTAGGCTGTTCTACGAAAGACAAAATGTGACTTTTTTATTTCAGATGTTTTGATGTGATGTGCTTAGAGTAGATTCATGATTAGTGAAAAAATGGACAGAACTGTAGTAGTTTTTGTTAGTATGACCTCTTTTCTTCAAATTTTGGCTTTAATTTAATTTCACTTTAATTCAGAATTTTGACCTTTTCTGAAGTTAAATTAAAACCAGATTTTTTTAATTTTTTAATGACCCAAATCTTCTTTCATCCTGCAGACTCTTCACCCTCTGGATGTTATAAAATACTTTTTAGTCTGTATGAAAACTTTTGGATCAAACATAATTTGAGTTTGAGTTATCAACCTAGTAGCTGAATCTTTTTTAGCCTAGACAAAAGTTCAACAATTTTTTTTATTTCTTTAGTTTATTTAGATAAAGGACCTGCAATGGACATCTGGAGAATAACTTTGGCCAGAAATAGTGAAGAACCAGATACATTTTAAAAACATGGATATGGCAGCAAATGCCAGTTTTAGCAGGTTTTTCAGTTTTTCAGCAAAGCTGGATTTAATTTCTTTGAACATATTCATACCAAAAGTATCTGTATTATTTTCTTTTTATATTTTTTATTAGAAGGATATGTATCCATTGTCTTCATGTATAAAGTGTGAGGGGTTTTTATATTTAAACCTTTAAAAATGGTAGTTTATCTAAACATGGCAACAAATTTCGTATATTTGATCACAAATACGTTGCATCTGTTGCTCAAAACAAGTTCTTTTAACTTCTCTGATTGTAAAGATTGTATGCTACTGATTTTAAATATTTTTCTTTCAGATTTTTCCTTCAGTAGCTAGTAATTCCCACGGTCCCTGAACGCAGCGCGGCTCATAGCTGATCTTTGTGCGAAGCGGAGCAGCAGCGGAGAACAAGCTCAGTCCGAACAGAGGAACACAGAGGAGAACAGCGGCTCTGTAGGCCAGAAAACCCTCTCTACAGCGATCAACCAGCCACAGCGACGATCCTAACATGGTAAGAAGATGTTTTAAAGGCCAGAAGGGAGTTTAGTGTCGCTGTTTTCTGACGGGTTTAGCTAGCTGGCTAGCTGGCTAGTGCTAAACGGTTAGCGAACTGTTTTCCTGACTCATTATCGACGCTAAGGCTGCCATTTTACACCAGGTACTGTCTGTCCTGACCGCTGCTTCTACCTCAGGGGAGACAGTATCCATATATAAAGAAATATAAGAAAAACTCATGTTTATTTGAGTGGGTAATATGTGGAAACCCACGATGTTCCGTGTCCAAAAGCACGTCTACCCTGCGGCTAGGCTGCCGAGCTAACAGGCTAATACGAAGCAGCTAATGAGACTTAGCAGCAGTGTTGCGTAGCTGTGTCAAACTCCGATCTGAAGCCCCATTAAAGCGTAATCCCAACTTTTAATTGGTTAAATATAAACTGTGTAGCTCCAGAGTTTATTTCCTGTGACTCGTCGTGTCGGGGGAGCCTGACTTTAACACAACCAGACCCTGAAGGGAAGCCGTCGGCCCGCTGGCGCTCTTTCAGGATCCTGGAGATCCTGGAAAAGCTTGAAATCCAAAACCTGACAGACAGGAGATGTGGCGAGATATTCACCCAACCTCTGGGCCGGTTCTGCCCCACTGATCCCTGCTGATCTGGTTGGAAAAACAACAGAAAATCAACGGGGAGACAAATTATCCTGGAGGCCAGTTGGCACCAGAAACTGCTCAGGTGTTTTTTCTTTATTTATGATCCAACCTAAAATCTCCAAACTGCATAAACTGGTGCTCAAGTTTTTCTCTTCCTGCATTCCTATTTGATTTAACTGGTAAAGTGTTAAAAAACAAAGTGAGAGAAAATCTAGACAACTGGAGTCACTGAAAAGATATTTTAATCTGTTGGACAGGGGAGATTTTAATACTTTTATCTTAAAACAATAATGTAAAAACCAATGTGGAGCTTTTAAATGATGCTAAGATGATATGGTGAAACATGAAGAAAGCTGCAGCATTTTATAAACAGAAATTCTGAGATAGTTAATCTTTAGCAAATCACATTGAATCAAGATCATTTTTAAATAAACTAATTATGAAAAATTAGCATAATATTTTCTATCTGTATTAATGATTATTCTGTTTATTTAACCCTTGAGGCATCTTTAAATTAACTAACTATACATTATTTTTATCTTCACTTTCTGTGCATTAAATCTTTTCAAAACTTCTGACCTGTCCACAGATATGATGGTTTCCATATATTTAATATCTTGCTGGAGACTTTTAGATTTTTATGCACCATGTTTGTTTAAGAGCAAACATCCAAATTACGTCATATTTCCTAGAATAAATATCAATGTAGAATATTTTTAGATGGGTGTTGCAGCCTGAACTAGGCCACAAAATAACATTGATTTTGAGACATTATATTGTTTTGGAGGTTTGGGAGATAAAAGAAAAAATACTTTTTACTTTTAGGTCCCAAAATAGAACATGTCATACAATTGTAATAAAAGTTCAACATTTCCTTTGTTGCCTTTTTACTTTTGACATCAACAATGTAATTTAGTTCCACAATTCAGGAAAAGCTCATTTTAATATTTAGTGCATAACAAACTTTCTGCAGGATAATTTCTTTATGCAACAGATAAATTACATTTTTGCAGGTAAATTCTTGAATTTTATTTATAGATTTGGATAATTTTTAAAAGAAAATCCAATAATCTTGATATAAATCAGTAATGTTTTTGTCAGACCAAACTTGCCAGAAGTCTTATAACCAGGCAAGCTGAGGTCTGCTGGACTAGTTTTATAAACTCGGAAATATTTTAAATTTTAAATATTTTTGAAATGTAACAGGAACCACAGATGGATGGAGAATCGGATCAGTTCATCCTTTGGCCAGTTTCGTTAATCTCGCATGTAAATTAACCCCTTCATGCTCTCCATTGTTTATTAGCCTTTAATATTTGGGTATGAAAATGATAAAATCTCACATTTAGATCTGCATGAATCAGTCGACTCTTCTGGAAACGACAGACTCTGTCCAGTAATCACAGCTAAACCCTCCGGCTGATCAATAATATTGATTGTTCTCATATTACCACATTTCCTCAGACTTTAACACGTCATTAAAAATGATTTTGGAGTCGTCGCCTGTCAAAACGAACCCAGAAAAAGTGCAGGAGTTGGAGCTGATGTATGAAATATTCACCGTTTCAGGATAAAGTCAGCAGTTTAACACAACAAAACCACTGAAGTTATAGTTTAAACTCTAAATGCCTTCGACTCATTGATATAAGTTTAGACAGGTAAAAGTTCATGAATTTTGTCACCTGGAAGTTTTATATTTATTCATATTTTGGCTCAGTTGTAGAGAAACTAAAATAATCTCTGCAGTTTCAGACGTCATTAATTCCTCTTTTAAATGATAAACTTGGTTCTTCTGGCAAAGGGAAAGAATCAGGTTTTCATCACGGCTTGTTAAAATAACTCAATGTCTTTGCATTTTAAAATCCCAGATTTTTAAACCTGAACAGCGTTGATGATGTCAGGAGGCTCCTGTGGGCGGAGTTATCGTTCCTCTTTTCATATCGGTGTTGGTCATCCCGCCGGCAGACGGATCTCAGGTCTGCCTGGGATTATTCTGACATGTGACTCCAGACCCACCGTCTCATTTCGCACCTGTAATTTCTGCTGACAACAACCTGCAAACATTTGTAAATATTTAAAGAGTAAAACTGATTTGACGTTGAGTCGGCAGATTGCTGCGCTGCAGAAAGTTTCCTCTTGGAATGATGTGGAGTTTTCCTGAGCAGGAAAACGTTTGTTTACAGTTGGTTAAGTTTTGACTGATTGGTTCTTTCTTACTCTCTTATTTAACTGGACTTTGTTGTTTCTGGTGCCGGACTCGTTTCAGCTTCGTTTAGATCTCCTCTCTGAACTGATTGGTGCGTCTGAACACCTGTAGGAGGTTTCATCAGAGGTGTTTATGCTGCGGTGCGACGCTCCTCTGGTCCATCAGCAGACTCATTCAGAACCGGATCCAACACTTTGGTTCAGAACCACTCAGAGTCTCTCCTGTAGAGAGAGAAACTCAACTCAGAGATTAGCATCAATAATCACTGATATGAAGGGAAACTTTTCATCCATGAAGCCGTTAAAGTCCAAACTGCCTGAATGTTTCAGCTTTGCTTCTGTTCGTCTTTGGATCTGGAATAAAACGTAAATCTCCTCCCAGCTAGACGCTGATCTACTGAACCACATCTGGACTCATCAAGCAGATTTTATTTTTATTATTCTGAGGATAAAAGCTGAATCAGAGAGGAAGCCTGTGCTGCAGGTTCCTGATGGATTACATTTAGGCTTTAAATATAATATTGTTCCTTTTTATGCAACAGGATGAAGTTTTTAACCTTTTCAGGAAGAAACAGCAGTAAAATATTTAACCTGCTTCACCTGCTGCAGGTGATCCTGAAGGTTTTACAGGAAATTTGACAAAACTGATGAACAAGAGAAAAATCAGGAAAATGTTTTATTGCTGAAAATGTTATGATTTTATATTTACCAACAATCCAAACAAAACTTTATTATCCCTTCTGCTGGTCAACAAAATAAAAGTTTTCAATCATTTCTACTTAAAACATTTTATTATATTTAATATAAAGGGAGCTGTGATCTTGGTAATTTGGGTCATTTTTTCCCGTCCTGCTGCAGAAACAGATGATGAACAGAAACGAGTCGGAAACCATGGCAACCGACCAAGCCGACTCTGTTTCCATCAGTCTGAACACATTTCATGCATCTTCTTCCTGTTTTCACTAATTAGAACAGTTAAAGATGCAGTTTCATAGTTAATACGGTGAATTATTTGTATAAATGTCTGAAATAAGAACCGGAGCGGCTGCCTGTTGTTTCCTGTCTGCTTTTCTCTGGACTGATGTGAAAAACTGAGAGGATTTTAACCAAAGTTTTATTCTGGACTTTTATTCTGTTTGTTGGACTTTAGGAAGTTTGGGTGGAAGTTTCCCTCCAAGTTAAAATGCTTTCTGTTGTTTTTCTCATTTTCCATCCAGTTTATTTTCTCAGGGTTATTTATGGAGGAGCGACTCCAGTAATAAATCAGACTGGTAGCATAATAAAACGCCTCCCAGTGTTCCCAGTGTTCCATAATAAGAATCCCCTCTCTGCATGGCTGCATGTTGATTCTTATGGATGTCCCTCACAGCTTGCCGTAGACGATGAGCGTTTTGGTCCCGACTCGGTTCTGGTTCATTGTCTGGACTTCCAGCAGGAACTGAAACAGAACCGGTTCTTCAGCTTCCTGATGGCCGGGTCCGGTCAGAGCTGGTGTCCTGCACCGGCTCGGTTCAGGGCCTGATCTGGTCAGAACCGGGTCAGACCTTTTGGACCTGGTGTCCTGCTCCGGCTCGGTTCCGGCTGCAGGTGACCTCCTCCAGGTGAGAGCGGCTCGCTGTGAGGGAGAGGAAGTGGACTAATCCGTGTTTATCTGCGCGGCATCAGAACCAGCAGAGTAAATCCGCCTGCTTCCCTCCCAGGTCAGCTGGTGAAGGCGGGTCCAGGCGGAGGACAGCGCCACCCAGGCGTGCAGAGCGGCACTGCGTCCCGTCGCCAAGCTCCGCTGCAGCCGCCAGATGGACTGCCGGCTCTGAGCACGCAGCGAGTCAGGACCCAATCAGCCGCGGAGAGGAGCCAGGAGGGAGCAGGACCGGGTCGGGAGAGGAGAGAGGAGGCGAGGGGAGCCAGCATGTCGTCCAACCGGACCCAGAACCCCCACGGACTGAAACAGATCGGCCTGGACCAGATATGGGACGACCTGCGGGCGGGAATCCAGCAGGTCTACACGCGGCAGAGCATGGCCAAGTCGCGCTACATGGAGCTCTACACGTATCCTCCATCACAGCTGGAGGTACCGGCGGCGCCGACCCAGCTTCACCCGGGTCCAAATCAACACTCAGAGGTTCTGAAAACTGAATTTAAAAACTATTTAAGCTGAGTGCCTTCGTACAGTAAACAGTAACTCATTAAACTATTAAGACCGACTGTTTTTAGTCCAAAACCTGCTAAATTTCCATTGACAAGCAGGTGGAAGGAAAATTGAATTAATTTAAAATACAGGAAACTGATGTGAATCAGATTCTGATAGAAACGATTGAGTTTCTGAAACCTGGTGTTGCTGCGGCATCAGAAGCTGTAAAACAGATTAAATTTATCCACCTGAACAGTTTTTACCTCCAGGTGTTGAACTTGATTTGCTCTGATGTTTTATTTCCTTCACTTTGAATCCTGGATCCTTTTCGTTTCACCCAGAACCTGAAAGTCTGTCGGCTTTCAGAAGTTTCACTCAGACGAGTTTTCATAAAACATGTTTTCTGCTGAATGATGATCCTCAGTGCTTCTTGTTCAGGAACGATACAGACCAGCTTTGGTCTTCGTTTCCAGAACATTCCTAAAACGTAGCTGTCACTTCTTCTCTGGTTTGACTTTATTTTATCTGGTTGTTTTCTGGTCGTCGTACTTTGAGGCATTTCGCTGCTGCAGACAGAAACCTCTGACTCCTGAGCTGACTGGTTTTATTGGGGGAGTTCTGGGTGATTTTCATTTGTCCCGGTGAGTCCAGTTCCTTAACGCGGCGCGTTCAGACACGTCTATAACTACTGCACCAGCGTCCACCAGTCCAGCCAGGCCCGGGGCTCCGTCCCTCCAGCCAAACCCTCCAAGAAGTCCACCACTCCGGGCGGGGCGCAGTTCGTCGGCCTGGAGCTCTACAAGCGGCTCAAGGAGTTCCTGAAGAACTACCTGACCAGCCTGCTGAAGGTCAGTCCCCGTCTGGACGGCCCGCCCCGCCGCGGCGGCCCCTGACCCCTGTCCCTGTCCGCAGGACGGCGAGGACCTGATGGACGAGTGCGTGCTGAAGTTCTACACGCAGCAGTGGGAGGACTACCGCTTCTCCAGCAAGGTCCTGAACGGGATCTGCGCCTACCTCAACCGCCACTGGGTCCGGCGGGAGTGTGACGAGGGCCGGAAAGGCATCTACGAGATCTACTCTGTGAGTCGGACCACTTCCTGTTGGCGCGGCGCTGCTTCCTGCTGACATGTTCAGGCATTTAATCAGGAAACAGGTTAATGTTTGAAATGTGAGAATCTGACCGGCTTCCTGTGTTTCCTGCAGCTGGCGCTGGTGACCTGGAGGGAGTGTTTGTTCCGACCTCTAAACAAGCAGGTGTGTTTACGTTCCCTCCCAGCTGCTGGGCGAGAAAACTGAAGCAAACAGAGTGTGTGTGTGTGTGTGTGTGTGTGTGTGTGTGTTTACCCTGCTGGTCGTCGCGCTGCAGGTGACGAACGCAGTCCTGAAGCTGATCGAGAGAGAGCGGAACGGTGAGACCATCAACACCCGGCTGATCAGCGGCGTCGTCCAGTCCTACGGTAGGTCCCTGAACACACCACGGCCCGTCTGACCCTCGTTAAGCCTTCAGGTTCCTCCTCCACCAATCAGGCTTCAGCTCCTTTCCAGTCCAACCTGCTGGTTTCAGTTGATTTGAATTTAATAAAGTTTGTGGTTCAGCAGCTACAGCGACGACTCAGGATAATCCAGCCTTTGCAATAAAACTCTTAATTTGTAAAGTTTGATAAGAAATGTCTTATTTACTGCTGATTATTTATATATTATGTTGCAAAAATGGCTCCAGGAATGCAGCAGGATTTACATTTAGAGGAGAAAAAGTTTAATTCAGTTTGAAATCTCCTTTTGAATGAGAGATTTTTAAACTTTGATGGGTAAGAAAAACCAGAGCAAGTTCTGATTCTGAGGTTTTGACTTCAGGCGCCTAAAATCTGAAGAAAGGAGAAACTGAAAATAGAAAATAATGTATAAATGTTGAAGATAAAATTATTTTTGTTGCAGTTTCTAGAACAGAGGAATGGAAACGTGTTTCTGCTGTAAAACACTGCAGTTAACACAATATGGCAATTTAAAAAGTGGAAAATGTGCAAAAGCCGCTGCAGTTTGTTACTTTATTAAAAACAATTTTTATGTATTTGTTAAAAACATCGTTTAAAACGGAAAACCTGGGAAAAGTGGAGCTGCTTTGCCTTTTGCCTGGCTAACTAGAAACAACCAATCAGAGCCTGGAGGCGGGGCTTAGTGCTGTCAATCACCCTCTGCAACTTGCTTTCTGCTTCGCTGCAGCTAGCAGAATGCTAAGGCTAGTTAGCATAGCCACTGATGACAGAGTTTTCCTGTAACAGTGAGTTGTTTCTCCCCTGTCAGTAGTTCCAGCAGCGTGTACATGAGGATGATTGACAGCAGTTAGAGCCGTCTCCTGTCTCTGATTGGTTGTTTTGGTCAGGAGACGCTCATTTTCAGATTATCTGCCTCATAACAAACGAATGTAAAGCCATATTTTTAAATAAAAATGAGGTACTGTAGCTTTAAGTGTGGTCTGGTTCTGATCCAGTGGAGCTGGGCCTGAACGAGGAGGACGCCTTCGCCAAAGGGCCCACGCTGTCCGTCTACAAGGAATACTTCGAGTGCCAGTTCCTGACCGACACGGAGCGTTTCTACACGCGCGAGAGCACCGAGTTCCTGCAGCAGAACCCGGTCACTGAGTACATGAAGAAGGTAAGCGGCCGCCGCCGCGCCGCCCCGGCCCGCCGCCCTGGTTCTGACCGGCTCTGACCCGCAGGCCGAGGCCCGGCTGCTGGAGGAGCAGCGCCGCGTCCAGGTCTACCTGCATGAGTCCACGCAGGACGAGCTGGCCCGCAAGTGTGAGCAGGTTCTGATCGAGAAGCACCTGGAGATCTTCCACACCGAGTTCCAGAACCTGCTGGACGCCGACAAGAACGAAGGTAACCAGGTTCTGCTCAGACAGGCGGGGCGGCGACCCGGTTCTGAAGGGTTCTGCTGCTGTGTCCAGATCTGGGCCGGATGTACAACCTGGTGTCTCGGATCACGGACGGGCTGGGCGAGCTGAAGAAGCTGCTGGAGACCCACATCCACAACCAGGGCCTGGCCGCCATCGAGAAGTGTGGCGAGGCGGCGCTCAACGTGAGGAGGCCCGACCCGGTTCTGGTTCCGGTTCTGAGCTCCTCCGTCACGCTGACGTGTTTCTGTCCCTCAGGACCCCAAAGTCTACGTCCAAACCACGCTGGACGTCCACAAGAAGTACAACGCGCTGGTCATGTCCGCCTTCAACAACGACGCCGGCTTCGTGGCCGCGCTCGACAAGGTACGGCCTAGTCAAAGCCCCAGCGCCCGCCGCATTACTGCACTGGTTATGTTTGTGATGCTGGGACCAGAGGAGGGAACCTTTGGGAAAAATGTATTTTACTATCGTTTTGTTGTCGTTTCCTCCTGTTTTTCCCATTTTGAAAGAGAAATTTCCACATTTACACCCAGAGAAGCAGGAAAAGATTCGATTAAACGTCTCAGATTTATGGGGAACCGATTGGTGGCTTTAGTAGAAACTTTAGTCTGTTGGGTGGAACTGTTGGCAGAGGGAGCAGAGGGGGAAGGTTTAGTGTGTAACACCTCTCTGTCTCTCAGGCCTGCGGCCGCTTCATCAACAACAACGCCGTCACCAGGATGGCCCAGTCCTCCAGCAAGTCCCCCGAGCTGCTGGCCCGATACTGCGACTCCCTGCTCAAGAAGAGGTGTGTGTGTGTGTGTGTGTGTGTGTGTATGTGTGTGTGTGTGTGTGTGTGTGTGTGTGTGTGTGTGAGAGAGAGACACAGGGCTGGGTTATTAATCAATTTATCCATTAATTAAATTAGTTTCTTTTAAGGTTTAATTTTTGAAACGTGTTTTTCCACCAATCCTCTTTGGGTTTCTGTAGTTCTGTACGTCAGGGCGGCCATTTTGTTTTTGAGCTTCTATTTATTTAAACTTTGACTTCAGGTTCAACTTTATGACAAAATGTTAGGAACATTCTGTGATTTTATTTTAACTGATTTTAAGGTCAAAATACTACAGGATACTGTCGTAATAACATGAAAATAAAGTTGTAATAGTAGAAGAATAAAATAGCTAAAGCTTAGCATCTTGTGAATTTATACTTTGGCATCAGTTTTAGAAATAAGAAAATATTTAATCATCAAATTATCAATAACTGAAATGGAGCAAATTGACATATTTATTAGCTTTAATCCTCAGTTTTACAACTAACAGAAGAAAAGAGAAATAAAATCCACTTTTTGAAAATATTTTCTTTTTGAGAAAAATTAGGAAAAAATTAGTGGAAAAATCTTTTATTTTGAAGTCGTATCGAACTGCCCTAGTTTTAACGTCCAGGTCAAAGGTCGTGACCTGATGCTCAACCTGTTTCCTGTTTTCAGCTCCAAGAACCCGGAGGAGGCGGAGCTTGAGGACACGCTGAACCAAGTGGTGAGTTTGACTGGTCCTCCGTCCAGATGGAGGTTCTGACCCGTCCTGACCCGCCTCTTCCTCCTCCTCCTCCTCTTCCTCAGATGGTTGTGTTCAAGTACATCGAGGACAAAGACGTTTTCCAGAAGTTTTACGCCAAGATGCTGGCCAAGCGGCTGGTGCACCAGAACAGCGCCAGCGACGACGCCGAGGCCAGCATGATCTCCAAGCTGAAGGTGAGAGCTGACCCGACCGGACCGGACCCCAGACCCGCCTCCAGCTCACTCTCTCTGTGTGTGTGTGTGTGTGTATGCAGCAAGCCTGCGGCTTTGAATACACGTCCAAGCTGCAGCGGATGTTCCAGGACATCGGCGTCAGCAAAGACCTCAACGAACAGTTCAAGAAGCACCTCAGCAACTCCGAGCCGCTGGACTGTAAGCCTGCCACCGTTACCATGGTGACCATGGTGACCCCGGTTACCGTTACCTCAGCTTCCTGTGTCTCCTGTGTTTCAGTGGACTTCAGCATCCAGGTGCTGAGCTCCGGGTCCTGGCCGTTCCAGCAGTCCTGCACCTTCGCTCTGCCCTCAGAGGTAAACAGGAAGTCCCTCCTCCTCTTCCTCCTAGCACCTTCATCTCCATGGTAACGGTGTGGCGTTTGTGTGTCTGCAGCTGGAGCGGAGCTACCAGCGCTTCACGGCGTTCTACGCCAGCAGGCACAGCGGCAGGAAGCTCACCTGGCTGTACCACCTGTCCAAAGGAGAGCTGGTCACCAACTGCTTCAAGAACAGGTAGGCTGGAGCGGACCGGGCCGGGCCGGACCAGGCTGGAGCGGACCGGGCCGGGCCGGACCAGGGTGGAGCGGTCCTGATCAGATCGGGCCGGTCCGGACTGGACCGGACCTGATCGGACCGGTCCTGATCAAACCACCTGCTACCTGCTTTTTTATTAGCATCCAATCTGATCCAGGCTGAGAGCCGTTAAGTTGAACTAATTACACAAATTTTAAGAAGTGAAGAATTGTAATGTGTTTTTCCCTTCAATTAACTCAGTTATACATTTTAATCTCTAATTTTTACAAGAACAAACTGTTGGTGGTAAATTTGGTATTAAAACATCCAGATGATCTGCTACATTTACGACGATTTCTGTCACAAACCTGAGACTTTATAATGTTTCAGATTTAATATTTAATACATTTATTGTTTTTAAACATGGAAAACTGTAATTTTTACACCCAACTTATTTTTTGATAAAATGTAAATTTTTAAAATGAATCTATAAAATGTATTTAATTTCCTTTGTCTTAAAACTGCATGTAAACAAACATTGGGTAATTTAACCCCTTAGCTCCCAGGTGGAGCAGTGAAAATGCTAAATGCTAACTAAGTCCAGATGGATTTTAATCAGCATCTCCTCCTAACAATGATTCTCAATGTGTTGGTTTTTAATGAAAGTTGTCAAAATATTAATTATAATGCATGAAAACATTTTCAGCTGTTGGAAAACAATAATTCATGAAAATGTGAAAGAATTTCCACATAAAACGATAAAGAAAATGTAAAAGTTTTTTTAAGAAGTTGGTTTAGAATCTTTTTTCATTTCAGTGCAAAACTCATAATTAACACTTGAAAACAATAAATTATTAATAATAATGTCAAACCTGATCAAATCATATGAAACCGAGTTGAATCATAAAATGCGGTTTTGCTGTGTTTGGTCGGTCTGACCCGGTTCTGGTTCTGGTCGTAGGTACACCCTGCAGGCCTCCACCTTCCAGATGGCCATCCTGCTGCAGTACAACACGGAGGACAGCTACACGGTGCAGCAGCTGACCGACAGCACGCAGATCAAAACCGTAAGCAGGCTCTGGACAACTGCAGCTCACGCTCTGGTTCTGGTTCTGACCGGGTTCTGTGCTTTCAGGACATCCTGGTTCAGGTTCTGCAGATCCTGTTGAAGTCCAAACTGCTGGTGAGTCCAGCCGAGCCGCCTGCAGGGCTGAGCGCGGCCACAGGAGGGCGCCAAACACAACCGGCTGCACATAGAACAAACCGGCCGGTTCTGGTCTCAGGTCCAAACTCTGTCCTCCGCAGGTTATGGAGGACGAGAACGCCAACGTGGACGAGGTGGACTTCAAACCGGACACGGTCATCAAGCTGTTCCTGGGATACAAGAAGTCCGACTCACTTATTTATCATTGGTTTACTATTTGACATAAACTGAACAAAACAGGAATAACTGGTAGTTATTACAGTCACTGGTGGTTATTACGGTCACTGGTAGTTATTACGGTCACTGGTGGTTATTACACTCACTGGTGGTTATTACACTCACTGGTGGTTATTACACTCACTGGTGGTTATTACAGTCACTGGTGGTTATTACACTCACTGGTTGGGCTTTTCTGTGCATTAAAATACAGTAAAAATACAAACATTTCCTGCCTAAATATTCATAAACAACCTTTGCAGTAAAATTGTAAATATAATATTAACTCTAATACATAAACTCAGAGTTTGATTCTTTAAGTCTGTTAGGAAAGATTAAATCAGGATTTATTCATGTAAACTAGTGTTTTAAGTTCAGATGTCAGTTTTAGAAGTTTAGTTTAAATTTTTACAAGTTTTATATGAAAACTGACCAAATGAGGTTCTATGTGGCTCTAAGCTGCAGTTTGTAACTTTTATATTTTTTACATATTTGTTCAAACTGTCAGAATGTCGTGATTTATAATCTGCTTCTCTTTCTCCCAGTGCTAACTGGAAGCAGCCAATCAGAGCCTGGAGGCGGGGCTTATCACTGTCAATCACTTCTCCACCCTTTGCTCTCTGCTACATGGCAGTTAGCATAGCCTGTCATGAAAGCTAAGCTAGTTAGCATAGTCACTGATGGTGGCAGATCAACGGTTTTCCTGTAACGCTGAGCTGTGGCTCCACCATTAGCACATTTAGCAGTGACTACACGTGGTGATTGTCAGCGCTAAGCCCCGCCTCCTGGCTCTCATTGGATGTTTTTGCTGCATTTCAGTCGATCTTTCACTGATTATTTGTCTCATAAACTCATAATCTGGTGACGATTTTAATAAAGTTCCTGCAGCTCTGAGTGAGTGAAGCTTCCCTTTGGGTCGGCGCCGTTCCGGCCCGGTTCTGATGGGTTCTGCTGGTTCTGCTCTGCAGCAAGAAGCTGAGGGTGAACATCAACGTGCCGATGAAGACGGAGCAGAAGCAGGAGCAGGAGACGACCCACAAGAACATCGAGGAGGACCGGAAGCTCCTGATCCAGGTCAGCCGACCCGCCGGTTCCGCTTCCTGCCGGGCCGCAGGTCGGACCTGTCACAATAAACCGCTTCCTGTGCGCAGGCCGCCATAGTGAGGATCATGAAGATGAGGAAGGTTCTGAAGCACCAGCAGCTCCTGGCTGAAGTTCTGAACCAGCTGTCGTCCCGGTTCAAACCCAGAGTTCCCGTCATCAAGGTACCGCCGACCCGACCCAGGTTCTGACTGGGAAAGGGTTCTGGTCATCCACCAGCATCTGAACGATTCCACTTTACCCCTGTTAAATGGTTCTAATGGATCCGAATGGACCCAGTTCAGAAAACTTGAAGGAAAATCCCAAACAGCTGCAGATTTAATCTGGATTAATAAATTATAATGGAGTAGTTTTCTAACGGAACCAGAACTTTTATTTACCAACAAACATTTTTGTAACCTTAAAAATATAATGAATAATTATCTTGATGTTTTTGTTGAATTTGTTTAAAACTGTATTAATAATCTGAGCTTCCATCCTGGTTTGCTGATGGAGCGCTTTGTCTCCCCCTTGTGGCCAGAAATGCATCGACATCCTGATAGAGAAGGAGTACCTGGAGCGAGTGGACGGAGAGAAGGACACCTACAGCTACCTGGCCTGATCTCATCGCCGCGGCGACTCCCCTCACTTTGATTTTTATTTGTAACCTTTTTTTTTTTTAATTTGATGTCTGAGTAAATAACGTGTGGATCTGAGGGGCGGAGCCGCCCAACCATGTGGCCGCACCAAACAGGAAGAGGAGGGTTTGTGCTGCGATGAAGGAAGAAACGCCCCTGCTGTCGAGGCTGGGAAACCCCGTGTACTCGCTCGCCCGTCCCATTGACTCGCCCTCATGTTGTAAATAACAGACTGTAAGAGGAATGAAACCCTTCTCTGCATAGTGCAAACGTTCATGAATTAGTCTGAGGAGCGCCGCCGCACCCAAAGGTTCTGCATGCTACCACGGCGACCGCACGGCGAGCCAGGCCGCTGAGCGAGGATCGGACCGGCGCCGGCCGCAGGCAGGAGGCCGGATCCATTACTGAACGGTGGACATTTGTATAGTGTGGTTCATTTTCTAAATGTGTGATAAATAAAAACAAGGAAAGATTTCTCTAACGCCGCCTGCTGGAGTCTGTGGGTCAGAACCAGAACCAAACCAGTTCTTCTGGCTTAAATCCCTTTAATGAGATGACAAATGTTGCTGTTACACTGCCAGTCAGCTGGCTGAACCAAATGTTGAGTAGCCAACTGCAGATAGTTACATTATGAGTCGTCGGCCCCAAACGCCTCATATTTTAGAGGCATGAAATATTACAGCAGGTTTGTGTGTCAGTCATAAATACTTGCAGATGTTGGACCGGTTCTGATCAGGATGGGTTCAAACATCCAGAACCGAATCTTTCTTTGAACCCGAACGGATCGGCACAGAAACAAGCCAGAACCATTCAGAATATTTTTAATCTGCAGAATCCCTGTAAACGTTACAAAAATCAGCACCGGCGTCAGAAGAAGAAGAACCTGAAGTTTAACGGGTCGGGTTCTGTTCGGAACCCGGCCCGGCTCAGCACCAGTGACGTGGTTCCACAGGAGGAGCCCGGCTGCTTCAGACAGTTCTGGAGGAATGTTCTGGTCCAGTAGCAGAGCATGCTGCGGTTCTGGTCGGGACGTACCGGGTTGGACGTCCAGAACCTCCTGATCCGAAACAGAATCAAACCGTCCGTGATCGGCAGGAAAAACACAAAACTAAAAAGGATTAAATCCGAAAAACCGGGTCAGAACCGGTTCAAACGCGTTAAAAAGGAAACCCTGGCATCCTGTTGCCACGGTAACAGCCCGTCTCACACATGTTGCTGACCACTGTCAGTCAGCTGGCTGAAAGAATCCGTCACCATGACGACAAATTTAGACTTTCATTTGCACAAAAACAGAAATCATAACGATGAAGGTTCTGATATTTCACCAGCCGAGGGTTTGGTTCTGATCCGGTTCTGATCCAAACAGAACCCGAGGGTCCGGTTCCTCCAGTGAAGGATCAGAACCAAGCAGAACCCGAGGGTCCGGTTCCTCCAGTGAAGGATCAGAACCAAGCAGAACCCGAGGGTCCGGTTCTTCCAGTGAAGGATCAGAACCCAGATGAAACCTGATTTTAAAAACTAAAACTGAGCACCAGGTGACAGAACCGGGCCGGTTCTGATCCGTCACCAACAAACCGCTCCCAGCTTCTCCAAACAGAATCAGGTTAAAACACAAACATGCACAGAACCGCCGGGAGGTCCGGTCAGCGGTTCTGGATCAGCACCAGGTCCGGTTGACCCAACAGGAAGAAGTCTGCGGTTCTGGAGAACCCGGACTGAAGCACCAACAGAAGGTCCAGGTAGGAGAGAGCAGAGGTTTGGACCGGGTAGCACCAGAACCAGAACCAGGTTTGCTGGTGTGAAACGATCTGAACACTTTCCCAGGGTTCAGTCTGCGGTTCTGATCCAATAGTCTAACTGGATCAGAACCGTTTGGTTTGGCAGTGTCGGGTCCATCCGGGTCGTGAACAGAACCCTGGAGCTGCTGGTGGAGGAGTTTTGGTCCCGAGTGTCGACTTTTGGTTCCGGTTGGGTCCAAATGTCCGGACCGGAGAGGAGCGCTTGTTGACGGAAAATAAAAAATGTAGAGAAAAAGTTTCCTGAAGATTTGAAGTTTGTTTGGGTCTAAGGCGTCCGGGTCAGAACCGCAGGTCCGGTTCAGGCGATCTCCATCTCGCGCTCGATGCCGACGTACTTCAGGGCGTCGGCCTGGCTGTACCTGGAGGCGGAGACATGATGACATCATCAAAACGAGACGCCGCTTCAAAACGACTAAATAAATGAAACTCCAGAAGATTAAAGACTAAAAATAAAACCACGAGGCGTCAAAATCAGAAAACGATTTAAATATTAAACTAAATAAAAAGTGACTCAAGTCATAGAAATAAATATTTTTCCTGATTTTCTATAAAGTTCAACAGGCTTTTTAAAGTGTTAATATTTTATATTTAAGGTTCTGATCCTGCAGCTTGGAGGTAAAAACTGAACAGATTTAACTTCAAAATGTTTTAAAATCTGCTCTAAACTGAAAGGTTCTGGTGTCAAAATGAGGTTTTAAAATTAAATGATATAAAATTTATGACGTGAATATTCCTTTGAAAGGATTCAGAACATTTATTACAACAGATCTAAACATTTATTCATAAGAAACTGAAGAATAAAAGTTTTTAAAAACATTTTATGAAACCTGATTTTTTTCTGCTCACCATCTAAAAACATGGATTTTATGACATAATAATCGTTAAAGTTCAGTGAATAAATCTCGGTTCCTATTTCCTGATTCGGATGGAATCATGGGGCGTTTACTGAAACCACGTAAAAACCATCGTTCACAGCGACGTGCAGTGAGTTTTGCTTATTGAGCAGTGATGCTGGTGCCGCTGCTCAGAGGAGAGTTTGGGCTTTTAATTTGAAAAGCACCACTGATCGTGTTGCTCTGTGCCTGCAGCGTTTTTCTCTCGTCTTCAGAGTCTATTGAAGTTCAGCTGCTTGGTGTTGGAAGTGAGTTTTGTTGTGGTAGAGAATTAAGTTTCCTTTAGACGAGCTTTTTCTCGCTAGGTGAAGATCCGATGTCCGTGTGGGTCGGTATAAACCCGTTTGGGTCGAGGTTCTGCTGACCGACCTGTAGTCGAAGAACAGCTCCTCTCCGGTCTGGATGGCTCTCTTGGCGAAGATCCCGATCCTGTGATCCCCGTTGACCATCATCACTGCAGAGAGCGGACCGAGTTACAGCAGAACCACCAACAGAACCCGTCCACTGCGGTTCTGACCGGCCTACCTTTTGCATAGCAGTTTGGGTTCACAGAGTGATTGGCGAAGCGGATCTTGTTGCCTTTCCTCGTGGCGTCGACAACGAAGTCTGGAGGAGGAAAGATGAAAGCGGATCAGAGTCAGACGACCCGGTCGGTTCTGGTTCTGCTGGGTTCTTACCGTTGTTGAGGTTGAAGAGGAAGCTGCACATGTATTTATCGTAAACCTTCCCTCGGCGGTCGGCTTCGTCCTGAGAGATGATCTGCAGGAGACAGAAAGATGAAGATACCTGGACCAGAGTCCAGATCACTGAACACGACCCGTCCAGAACCTTCTACTGTCCTCAGCCCACAACGACCTCTAATGACCTTTAACCTCAATGGAGGTCAGAGGTCCTCATGGCTGATCGTCCTGATGGTCAAGAGTTAGATGTGGAAACTATGGAAACCAGAAACTGAAGGAAGAGGATGGATGGATGGACGGATGATGGACAGATGGATGGATGGATGATGGATGGACAGATGGATGGATGATGGACAGATGAACACATGAATGGATGGATGAATGGATGGATGAACAAATGGATGGATGGATGAATGGATGGATGAACAAATGGATGGATGGATGGATGATGGACAGATGAATGATGAACAGAAGGATGGATGGATGGCTGGATGCTGGATAGATGGACGGATGAATGAATGGATGGATGGACAGAAGGATGGACAGATGGATGAATGAACAGATGAATGGATGAAATAAAACTTTCAGCGATCAGAACCTCTCAGTAACTCAGACAAGGTGAAAGTTTCTCAGTGTATCTGCATCGTTTCCCAGCCAGAACCAGAACTCAGAGTCCAGTCCAGGTTCTGGTCCAGGTTCTGGTTCTGCTGCAGGCCTCACCTCTCCACAGTACTCGGAGATGAACTCGTTCTTCTGGACCGGCTCCTTGATGAAGATGCCCCACCCGGCCACGTCGGACGGCGCCAGCAGCAGGTGCTGCGACCAGAACCACCGGTTAGGGTCCGATTACATCCTCAGAAGGTTCTGCAGAACCGGGCCTCACCTTCTTGGCGCCGCGCTGGATGGAGCAGTTCTTACAGGAGACGTTCTTGCTGTCCCAGTGGTCGGCGGCGCCGCAGGTCAGGCACAGGTCCGGGTCGCACTCCCGCACCGCCAGGTAGCAGGGGCACTGCTTGGTGTTGCACTGGGCTTTGCACCGGCAGCCCGGGAAGCGGTTCTGACCTGCGGAGACGGGACAGCGGCTCAGAACCCGGCCAGCTGGACCGGATCAGACAGAACGGGGCGTGTGCTTACACTCGGAGCTGCACTGGCAGAACTTCTCGCAGAAGTTCTGCGCGGTGACGCAGGGGCAGGACGAGTCGCAGGGCTGCCGCGGATGGTCGCACGGCTGGTAGTTGTACACGTGGTTGGACGACCCGTCTGCGGCACAACACACACTCAGAGCTACGGGTTCTGTCTGGGTTCTGCTGCGGCCCGGCGGAGCGGTTCTGACCTTTCTTCAGCTGGATCTTCCTGCAGTGCGTGGCCCACAGCCGGTGCTTCCTCTTCTTCTTCCTGGGGGGCGTGTCCTCGTCCTCGGCCGGCGCCCGGGCGATGATGGCCGACTCTTTGACCCGGAACTCGTAAACCTGGACAGGAAACACATCAGGGTTGGTTCTGATGGACCGGATCGGGTCAGGCTCATCCGAGTGAAGCTGCCCCCCCCACCGCTTCAAATCTAACAGAATTGGTCTCGAATGTTTGTGCAGCAAAATTTTTACAATTTTAAAGATATTAATAAAGACTTTTCCAGAGGTCAGAGGTCAACAACATCTTGGAGAGCAGCTCAAACTGAGATGATTGACACCAAACGTTTCATTTTGTAAATGTGAGCTAAACTTTTGCTGCAAACCGTCAGACAGTCTGTCTGATTTGAAGCCTCACCTGTCTGCAGGTCTTGGTGCCGATGAGGCGTGCGATGGCGCAGAAGTTGTCGTAGTACGTCCCGATCAGGACCCGGAAGAGGGACGCCTCGGCGCCGGTCCAGTCCACGGCTTCCGGCTCGCAGGTCAGCTTCATCTTCACCGGCGTCTGGCAGCGAGAGTTCCCCTCTGCAGACAGAACCAGGTTTACCTTCTACTGACAAACGGACCAGCAACGCTCAGAGGAACGGCGTCACTCGAACGCATCGCTGGAGAGAAAAGCTCTGGGTGGAAACAGTTCAGCTAATAACAGCTAACATGCTAACAGCTAACATGCTAACAGCTAACATGCTAATATTAGATTCATCTGATTCAAAGATTTATAAACTTAACCAGATCATGATTTTATTTTCATTTTAATTCATGTTTTAAAGAATTACTTAAAGATCATAATTTATTATTCCTGCTAAACAAATAAAACAAAGTTCAAAGGAAAAAGCTGAGGAAATATTTGAAGTAGTTTTACAAAAAAGACATTATAAAATAAATCCTGAGACACATTTTGAAAAAATAAATGAAATAAATCTGAATTCATAAATCTTAAACGTCCAGCCCAGGTGAGTCTGACCTGAGCTGCTGGTCGTCTCGTCCTTCTTGTCCTCGTCGTCCTTGTCGTTTTCTCGCTCGTCGTCTTTGCTCCCCTCGCGGTCGCTGTCCGTGTCTTTGGTTTCCGAGGAAACGGTGGGCGTGCCGGGCCGGCTGCTGCTGTTGGGCAGTCTCCCGCGGCGCCGGCCAACGCTGCGTTTGGACGGCGTCTTGGCGCGCTCGGCGCCGGCCGGATACTCCCTCACCATCCCGTCCTGAGAGCAGAGCGCCGTTTAATGGCCGCCCCATCGGCCCGAAGGGCCCGAGGGGGCGGAGCCTCACCTGCACCAGGTACATGTAGCATTCGGCGCCACACGGCTTCGTGTTCACCAGGTTCTCCAGGTTCTTACGCTTGTAGGTGTTCGGCGTGGCGTGGAAAGCTGGGAGGGAGAATCTGTTGTCATGGCGACTGCGTGTTCGTATGTGGGGGCGGGGCTTAAGGCGTTTACTCACGGTGGAGGAAGCAGTCGTATTTGAAGCAGCGGCGGCAGAACAGCGTGTGGAAGGAGTGCAGGCTCTGCTCCCGCTGCACAGAGCGAGCATTTGGGCCGTCGATGTTCGGCGTGCATTCAGGAGGAAGAGTGCCGGGAAGCTGCTGCTCGGTCAGCTCCTTGTACCTGGAGCACAGACAGAAACATTACAAACAATAAAAACAGAAATATTAGAAACAAGTCATGATCTGAAAGTTTCTCAGAAAGTAACTATAGGAAGAATTTAAAATAACTGTGGCTTAAGTAAAATTAGATATATGGAATAAATTCTGTCTTTAAACATTTAAAATGAAAAATGTTACAAAATGTTTTGGTTGTAATATTAAAATAAATTCAACATTTAGTGTAAAAAAAATAACATTCTGTAATACATACAATATAAATCTAAGTAGTAAAAATTATCTTTTACAAAGATCTTCATGTTGGGCAATAATAAAAAACCTGATTAAAGCTAATATAACTGTTGGCTTTAATATTAATTTCAGCAAAAAACAAAAATAAAATCAAATGTTTAATTTTTGTCCTTTTTTGCAGAATATTAATTATTTAAAGAAATATTTAAAAATGTAATAAATCATTTTATAACTGCTGAGTTGTAGCTTATTTATTTTACTTGTAGCAAATGAAATATTTATATTTATTTTCCATCTGAACTGTCTGGATCTGCCGTCGTCATGACGACGACCCTGGACACTCACTTCTCCTTCAGCTCCTCAGTGGATCCTTTGTCAGGGAACATGGAGGAGATGGCTTCAAAGATCTTATCAGACGGGAACTTCTTGTTGCTGTCGCTGTTGCTCCGACCTGGGGACGACAAACACGCACACACACGGACGCACACACACGGACGCACACACACACACACACACACACACTTCATCATGAAAATGACTGAAAACTGGACAGGAAGATCTAGAGAAAGCAGAAATGCTGTAGCAGATAAACACGTCTGATTGGCTGAAAGGGGCCGACTGGATAAACACGTCTGATTGGCTGAAAGGGGCCGACTGGATAAAGTGTCTGATTGGCTGAAAGGGGCCGACTGGATAAAGTGTCTGATTGGCTGAAAGGGGCCGACTCGCCTTCGTTGCTGACATGTCTGTCCTTGCTGCCGTCCTCCGGCTGATCCTTGCCGTCACACGTCTCCATCTTCTCCACCTTGAAGTCCTGCTCTTCCTCCTCCTCGTCATCCTCGTTGTCGCTGTACTGAACCATCGAGTTGACCAACTCCACGAAGATCTCGTCGTTGATGAAGCCGCATTCTGAAAACCAGCGAGAGAAAAACTTCAGACATTTCTTTATGTTGCCTCTGAATGCATGTGAACGCCAAGCGGACCAGAGACCGCTCCAAGAGCAGGAAGTGAACCACAGCGCAGGGCATTCTGGGTTCTGCTGAATGTCTTCACGGCTGGACCGACAGAGGAGACGATCCGGCCGTTTAAAGCGGACCAGATGAAGGTTCTGTGAAGACGAGCCGCTCACCTCGGTCTCCATGGACTTTTCCGTCGTAGTTCTTGATCAGCTCCTCTATGAAGGTGCCGTCCTGGTCCAGGATCTCGTCTCCCATGTAGGGGATGTTGTGCAGCACCGTCTCGTCCTCCACCTGAAGGAGAGCCAGAGTTACAGACGGCCGAGGAGGAAACGGCGCCGTGACCACAGGAAGCTGCTCGCACCATGAAGTTCTGCTGCAGCGGCGACCAGGAGTACATGACCGGAACCGAGGCCACGGCGTTCAGCGTCTTCAGGGGGATCACCTGCCGCGGGAACTCAGAGAAGCCGCTCTCCACGGTGCACTGGGGGAAGAGCAGAGCAGGACGTCAGGGTCACGGTCGGGTCGGCGTTCGCCATCAGCAGGAAGGCGGCTCACCTCTCTGGAGGCGCGCAGCGAGCTGACCGACGTCATGATGTGGACCGGCTGGATCCGCCGCGTCTTCCACTCCTGGTTCAGAGTGTCCGTCCGCTCCACGATCTTCTGACGGTTGGAGTTGAACATGCTCTGCAGCAGAGGTGGTTATCAATAACCTGCCTGAATCCCTCTAGAGGTCAGAGGTCAGAGTGTGAACCCACCTTGACCTCGTCGGCCCGTCTGAAGCGTTTCTGCTGCCGGAGCCTCATGTACTCAGACTTCACCCTCCTCTTCCAGCAGGCTGGACCTTTGTCCGAACGCTTCCCTGTCAGCACCATGGTCACCCTGCACACACACACACACACACACACACACACACACACACACACACACACACACACACACACACACACACACTTCACATTTACTAAAGACAGGAAAACAGCTGTTCACATGGGCTTTGAAAACATCTCGTCATATTAAAAACCCCAAATTCCTCTGATGAAGTTGCAGTTTTAGTTTTTAACTTGGTTCAAAAGGGCAGGATCTCCTGCAGCAGTCAGCGCTGCAACGAATACCAGGAGGCCTCTGACTGAAGACTGTTGCTGTATTAGTTTCAGCAAAGACAATATCCCATCAGATGGATGAACCCATCAGATGTTAGCTAGCTCCGCTAATCCACCTCGTTTGCTTTTGCTGAGTCGGTTCAATCAGCGTCACTTAATGTCTGCAGATCGGAGGAGCTGCTACCGATCAGACGCCAGCTTGGTCTAGTTGGTTTACCGTTTATAACATCGGCGTCTTATTTTGTATTTATACTCATTATCTTGGTTTTATCCGTCACAGCACTTTGGGTAAACATATTGTGTCTTTTTTTTATGTGCTTTATAAATAAAATGGATTAGAACGTCAGAGATTCCCATCAGCACCAAGATAACGAACATCTGATGTTTTTCTAGACTGAAGTTTGTCTAATAAACCTGAATACTCCAATATAGAGAAAAGCTAAACAAGAATTAAAGTCACTTCTATTGATTCTTCACAACTGTTTGTAATGTGTTTTTATTTTATATGTGGAAAAAAATACAAACTAAAATAAAAATTTAAAAAATCAAACATGCTGCATTGAAGAGTCTGAAAAGATGGGAGTTTCCAGTTTTGATTAATTAAACAGAATAAAATTAAATAAAAACACATCATATTCAGCTTTTGTTTTCATTTTAAAAATAAACATGAAGTCTGTTTACAGTGCTTTAAAACAGGTTTCTCAGTTTCAGATTTAAATTTAGCAGTTTGCTCCAATATCAGACACTCCGCACTAATGAGAAGTGTAGCAGGAAGTGTCGACTTATTTCAGGACGTTTCCTGCCACGTGTTTCTGCAGGAGCCACAGATAAACTGAAGAGTTGCTGCCCAACATAAAAAGGTTCATTTTGTTTTTTCCAAGAGCAGACCGGTGTTTTTACATGCAAGCAGCTGATTAACTGAACTTTGACCTTTGAGGCGTTGAAAATGAGGATTCATGGATGCAGAGAGGAGGAAGTTCAAACCATCTTTTTTGTCCTTCATAATGACAAAGGATCACATCCCCTACTCCAACATCTTTCTAACTATACGGACAGGTGGAGGTTTAAAGTAAAGGATGTGGATTAGCAGCGCCGGCTAACAACTGGACATGTTACTGTGGAATATCGTCTCTGCTGCCTGGATGATGAGATGTTCAGGCGTCTTCGTCTGATTCAGTGCAATACCAACTGCTACTGGAGATCCGTTCTGCCCACGGCATCACAATCCTTAACGACTGAAGATATTTGGAACATTTGAGTTATGAGATTTTATTTTGGGATAAATATGTTTGAATGAAAAAGGCAAAGTCACTCAAAAGTCAAGAGATCTGCAGAAACTCAAAACAGCAGAAGAAGGCAGGTGAGTCAAAGAGGTTCATGATGACAGATGAACCTATAATAATTCAATTTCTAACAATATTAAAGCAACTACATGGTTTCCTACCATGATGCAGACCTACAGGAAATAATTACCCAGTTAAACTTAAATACTCACTTTAAAAACCAGTTTAACAACAAATCAAACTGGAGATAAACTGGTATGCAGTTTTTCATTTAAAAATAAAAAATTCAGTTGATTTCTGAACCATTCATGATGTCACAAATTTTTACTGTGAATTTATAATTAATACATTTCTATTTCATTAAAACAACATGTAAACACCACCCTGAATGTGGTGTTTCTAACCTCTAAAGAGCTTTAAAATGCTTAATGTTGATGAATTAAAATGTTAAAATCAAACTTATTGTCTTCAGGAGGAATCACTCCAACGTGACTTGATGCCATAAACTGGTTTTCCTTGGACAGGAAACTAATTTTACCAATGTCAATATCTGAACTCAACTGCATTGATTAATATCCAAGACTGAATCAGAATGTGTGAAATTACAGTCAGTTATTAATTATTTCCCCTATCTGATCATTACTATGAACCAGGATCTTGATCATTTCTTTAAGCATGATGGTTATTTACCAGTCGGTTGAAAGTGGCTGGCCGACATGTTTTTACTGACTTACATGCATCATTATTAGAGCTGATCTGCCTCACACAGGTCGAAAGTAAAGAAAATAAGGACTTATTTCTCACAGCTACAGCTGACTGAAATAACCAAACTCTACAAAGGACATTTCTGACCGTCCGCTGAGGTGAAAAGTAACTAAAATTGGGCCAACCTGTCAGATAGTTTCAAGGTGAACTTTCCAAACAAAACCAGGAAGCTTTAGCTGGCAGATATCGTGCTCAGTGCCCCCTAAAAATATGGTTTCCTCTCTTTGCGAACAACTTAAAGAACTTAAATACAGTAAAGTGAAGTTAAATCAGAATGTTAATATATTTAACCTAACTCTACAGTGTATGTGTACGTTTTTCTGGATAATTAAATACTAGGGTACCAATTTGTCTCGAACACCCCGACGTGCTAACTAGCAGTTGGTCAGTTAACAAAGCACCAAGAAGAACCTGGGCCGTTTGGACCTCATGAAACACGGCAGAAACAAACAAAACCAGCACTGACAGCTCCTCTCACCTGGACGACAGGCTCTGGCCTCATTCAACGCAGTGATTCCAGGTAACCACGACGAACACTGGGAGAGCGGTTCTTTGTGTGGGAGCTTAGCCGAAGCGTTAGCTCCGCAGCTAGTTAGCAGTTAGCTCAGCAGGAGGCAGCGATTCTAAGCGCGACAGCCGGCTTTACAGAACCGACCGTCCGTTAAACGGTAAAAGCTTCCGTTCCCACGCCTCAATGTGGACCTTTTGCGATAACACTAATGCTTGTTTTGACGGACCCTGCTGTCATTTGACTCCGTCTTTTCTGAAATCAAACAGTTTATTTTCAATATTTCCGCCTCGACGCGGAGCAGGTTCAAACTGTCCACCGTCTCGCACTCGCCGCCCACTCCGGCTGCAGCAGAGTCAAGAGGCGCCAAACGTTTCGACCAATCACTGAAGCCGATGTTTGGGTCTCAGAGTGTGGTGTCCTGTGATAGGCCAGGGTAACCTACATTGTATCCAATAGCAGTTTGAGATAAAACGTAGGCCCTGTAGCGGGGACATGCGGACAGGTTTCCTTTGTTCTCACATTTGTCAATGTAAAATTATAAATTCAGCTGACAGTAGCCTGTTTGATAATCAAATCAAGTACAATTTCTTAAACAATCCAAAATTATTTAGGTCATGTTGTTGGTAGATTTCTACCCATCTGTGTTAACTGTTATCCACAGATGGAAAGTAACTGTGCTTGTAAAAACTCATGGCGGCCTTAGAAATGCAGTGACGCTTCTTCCTCATCCACCTGCTGCCCTCTGACAGCTCAGCTGGGAGCTTCAGCAGGAAGGTCAGTCAGTAAATGATAATCATGAAACCTTCCCGTTACCAACCTAAAAAGCTAAAACGCTCTGCATTAAGCAGTTTGTTAGTAGGCTGAGGCTCAGCAACAGAAACTGTCAGTCGGAAGAGGGTCGACGAGTTTATTAAGCCACACCTCCTCGAAAAGCTATTGGCTTAAGTCATTATGACGTTTCATGTTGCGTTCACGTTATCATGTAACAATGCCTAAAGTTAAAACACAAGCGCATCAACTTATTCTTAATTTATGTTTTAATAATATTTAGAGACATTTACATGTCATCATTGAGTAGAAAAAGTTTAATAATACAGTAAATAGGTGTAAAAAAATACAAGTAATATCAGAAATACATACATTAAAAAACATTAATTACTTC